CCAGTTTGCCCACTGGGGGCTCTTTCTGATGGGTTCCTGTGTCCCTTAGACAGGCCCTGGTCCACCCCTGCCCCCACTCCAGTGTATTAGCTTTTGATGGACAATTGGGTTTTCTTCCCCACCTACCCACTGAAATTGCTTTAACGTCCTTAAGAGTACAATGGTTTCTAAATGGTCAGGCCAAAGTCCACTTTTCTGTTCTTAGTTTACCAGATCTTTCTGTGACAATACTATTCATCTCTTTCTCTCAAATTGCCTTTCATTTTCTAAAAACTTATTATGGCATTTTCAAGCACAGGCCAATCTCCAAGTGTCCATCTCCCAGCTTCAACAGTTCTCAACATTTTGCTTATCTTGTTTCACTGGTCACCTCTCGCATGCTCTGCCACTGGAATACTTTATTTTTATTTTTATTAGAGAGGGAGGGAGGGGCAGAGGGAGAGAGAGAATCTTAAGCAGGCTCCATGCCCAGTGTGAAGCCTAACAGAGGACTCGATCTCACAACCTGAGATCATGACCTGAGTCGAAATCAAGAGTCGGACACCTAACTGACTGAGCCACTCATGCACCCCACCACAATGCTTTAAAGGAAATCCTAGGCAGGGATGCCAGGCCGGCTCAGTTGGAGGAGTGTGCACCTCTTGATCTTGGGGTCATGAGTTCAAGACCCACATTGGGTACAGAGATTACTTGAATAAAACCTAAAAAAAAAAAGGCAATCCCAGGCATTCTATGAATCCAGCCATAAAGAGTATAATATCTTTAACAGGTAAGAACTTTAAACAAACAAAACAAAACAAACCATAACCATGGGATGCCTGGGTGGCTCAGTGGTTGGGTGTCTGGCTTTGGCTCAGGGTGTGATCCTGGTCTGGGGATCGAGTCCTGTATCGGGGTCCCTGCAAGGAGCCTGCTTCTCCCTCTATCTCTCTGCCTTCTGTGTCTCTCATGAATAAATAAATAAATAAATAAATAAATAAAAATCTTAAAAAAAAAGTAACCACAAAATAAGTATTACACCTAAAAAAATAATTTAGTATCCTCTAACAGTCCAGATTCAAATTTCCTCCCAAATTTTATTACTTTGTTCAAATTAGGATCCCTACAAAATGCACACATCATTAACAGTCTCTGCCACTTGCCACCACCCCTTTCTGCAACATAGACTTTTTAAAAGCCCCATTGTTGAAGAGAATGGGTTTTCCGTCCTATCAAATTTCCTACATTCTGGATTTGGAGGATTGTATCTTTATAGTGTCTTAACATGTGAGTCTACTCCTTGAACTTCCTGTAAATTTGTTCTTAGATGTAGTCTTAGATTCTGTATGTGTACATGGAGGTATTTGCAATATATTTGAGATTTCTGTCTATCTATCTATCTATCTATCTATCTATCTATCTATCTATCTACTTACCTATCTATATCTTTGAAAAAATACTTCATTGGTGGTCAACTTCCCAATGCATCACAATAAAAGCCATATTGTCTGGTTGTCCCCTTATAATGTTCCCTTTTGAGACACCCCTAGCTCCCAGCTGTCCTTTCTTTGCCATTTCTTCTCAGTTCCCTTCACAGACTCTTATGTTTTCAAGTCATTGTTCTTCTGGACTCCACTGTCACTGGCCTATATATATGGTCCCCTTTTCCATATTCCTGAGGCAGAGGACTCGAAAAGTCTGTATTTTTATTTTTTATTTTATTTTTTTAGATTTTTTATTTATTTATGATAGTCACAGAGAGAGAGGCAGAGACACAGGCAGAGGGAGAAGCAGGCTCCATGCACCGGAAGCCTGACGTGCGATTCGATCCCGGGTCTCCAGGATCGCGCCCTGGGCCAAGGGCAGGCGCCAAACCGCTGTGCCAACCAGGGATCCCTGAAAAGTCTGTATTTTTGATGTAGACCCTCTCCACTGAATTCCAAAGCCAAATATCTAGTGACTGGCAGAATGTCCTGTGAGCTCTTGAAACCCTGTCCCATATGGAATTAGTCATCCCTCGTCCCAAACCTGTTTCTCCTTGTTTTCTTTACCTCAGTGACTAGAACCACCATCCAAGACAGAAACTTGAGCCATCCTACCCTTTTCCTCACCTGTCCAAATCACCGAGCTACAGAACATCTCTACCTTCGATATCTCAGGTATGTTCTTTTCTTCTAGCTGCCAGAGCCTCAGTTCTACAGTTCAAAGAGTGCGAGTGCCCTACCCAGGGTGGCACATTCTCAAGCAGAGCAAGGACCAATACCCAACCTCCTGCTCTAGCATAGAATATACTGGAATCTTGCTGAGGGCTATAATCAGCTCCAGATTCTTTGGTGTGCTTTACACATATCATGAATATGGTTGTAGAAGCTGGCTTCAGCGGGGTGAAGCAACCCAAAGCGGGGAGTTTAAGAGTCAGAATATCTAGGTCTCACACCCATGTCCACCACTGAAAGTGCACTCAGTTAAGTCGGTTAATTCCTCTGTGTTGTTTCCTCATCTGCAAAACAGGAATTGTATTCCTTCACCACTTTTCTGAAATCCCAAAGCTCTAGAAACTGGAAGGTGTGTGTACATCTTAATTTGTTTGGCAGCAAAACCTGACTTGACGGTAAGGATTTGATGACAAAACCTGACCTCAATGGAATTGAGGTTATTTATGGTTTTTACTTATCCTACTTAGAATATCCTTCCGTTTTACTGCACAACTGTCTTTGAGGACAGGCTGCTAACCCAGCCCATTAGGACAAGTTCTAGAATATGCTGTTGACTTTTCTTTTTCTTTTATTTTTTTTTATTCATGATAGGCACACAGTGAGAGAGAGAGAGAGAGGCAGAGACACAGGCAGAGGGAGAAGCAGGCTCCATGCACCGGGAGCCCGATGTGGGATTCGATCCCGGGTCTCCAGGATCGCGCCCTGGGCCAAAGGCAGGCGCCAAACCGCTGCGCCACCCAGGGATCCCTGCTGTTGACTTTTCAAAAGTACAAACAATGTCTGTATTCAGCAACATAGCTGACCTCACGGTTTCAGAAAACAGGTTGTATAGCTAAAAGAGCTCCTGTGTTTAGTCACACAGGTTGATTGCTAAAGAAATTAGTCATTTGTAAAGCCATTAGAAAAGTGTGTGCTCACAGTAAGCCCTACAGAAGTGTTTGATAAACATTTCGTGTAATAGTTAACCCTATGAATGAAGTTAAACTATTTTATATCAGAAAAGTTTGATGAATCTTGGGGCCTCCATCACAGTGGGATCCTTTCCCGGCTCAGAACCACTATTCCTGAAAGTGGTATGAATAATGTGCATGCAAGCTTCTTGATTTTTGTATATATACATGCACCCATAGTATGTTTTTTTTTTTTTTTTTAGAACAAAGAAAGATCCAGCCTCAAATGGCAACAGTGCGGAGGCTGAGAAGCCCTGCCCTTCCCTCACTTTCATGCTCATGCATGCCTCCAGCAGCACACAGGTTGCGATTACCATCATTGTACACCTGTCTGCCTGTGCTCCTAGAAGGCAAGTTCTCTGAGGGAAGAGACTATGGCTTAGCTAACTGGAACGGAAAGGGCTCAAAAATTTGCTGAATAAATCCATGAACAAATCATGGGTCCCTCCCAGATGTCAAAAAGCCAGAGAATCCATTTGAAGAGGTGACTGGGAAACATCTCTCTGCATTTGGAAGAAGTCTCATACCCAGGACTTCCACTGGCACTCTGGCAATTTTTAAAGGCAGGAAATACATATCGGCATTTTCTGAGTCTTTACCATGTGGCCAGCACCGTATTTCACAGGCACTAACTCAAATGTGGTCTTCACAAGGGCCTCCTGCGGGGGCATCATGAACACCCACATGAGTGAGGAACTTTGCCTGCACCTGTGCTAACAAAGCCAGCAGGGCTTGGCCCAGCATGGTGGTTTCTCTGGGGAAAGGTAGGAGAGTCCTTTCTAAAGAGAACGTTTCACTCTCAAATGGCTAAGAAGCTGCTGCAATTACAGGCCTTGGTTTGTATTTGTGCCTGAGCCATACTTATTTTCTATTTCAGTGTAGGAGTTTCACAGAAACAAAACAAAACGAGAGCTACTAAGGATTTGAAATTTTAGTCATGTGTCACCTCGGGAGAAGTTAATTCTGATTTTTGTCGGCAATACCCAAGCACAAATCGCAACTCCAGGAATGCAATAAGAGCTTGGAAAAATAAGCACCTGGGGCTGATGAAAGTAATGCATTTGTTTCAGGGCAGGGGCTGAAACGTGGAGCTAAGTGTTCTTCAGGAGAAACATGTCAATACTAAATCTTTTCACCAACCTTTGATGGATGTGCTAATCTTCTCAGGTCAACATGGGCTCACCCTGGCAACACTCTGTAATAACTTATTTAAAAGGCAGCTGGCTTTTCTATAAATGGACTGTTCCATCAATTTTTAGATTTTCATCCTCAGAAATGTATTCTCTTCTCAAAGCAACATTCGCCATACGTAGTAAGAGCTCAGTTAGACCTTTCCTACAACAGAGGATACTGTAGAGGTGAGCAGGTTTGGGAATTATTGTTCTTTGCTCTCAATTCTGTGTGACATTCAAGCCCTGCAGAGATAATGGAATAACAAGAAAAATGTCAGATGGTTATTCTTATTCCATTAGAGCAGTGGGTTCACAAACTACTGCCCCTGGGCCAAATCTGCCCCGAGGCCCATTTTCATTCATAAAGTTTTGTTGGAACACACCCATACCCATTCGTTTACTTACTATCCATAGCTGCTTTCAGGCTGCCAGGGCAGAACAGAGTAGTCGCAACAAAGGTCGTGTGGCCTGCAAAGCTGAAAATGTTACCTCTCTGGTCCTTTATAGAACATGCACGCTGACCTCTGCCTCGGAGAGAAGTGGTGTTTGTCCCACTGGATCATTTTCAGTGGGGGCTAAAGGAGTTCGAGCAAGAGAGGACATCTGACTCATTTAAGGCATGTCCGTTGGAGTTTAGTTGGATTAAAGACAAGAAAATAGAAAAAGGCAAAAACACCAGGAAGTATCTCTAAATGGGGACTTTAATAACTGAACAGTATTATTGTCTTCATCAAGCATAATATGTATGAAATCATTTTAGGTCAAAGGAAAATCTTTCATTGTTGGCAACAGTATGCGTCTTGCTGACTTCAAGCGGCCAACATATTACATCCAGCCCTGAGATCGGCCCCCTGGGACTTTGGTCAACATGCTTATTTCTCAGTATAAGAGAAATTTCCCTGAGAAAATGCACAGAAGGAGAGATTTAGTGAATCCGAAAGGAAGGGGGTGCTGGCTGGGTACCCTGCGGCCCGGGCTCAGAACTTGAGCGGAATGACCGGCCAGTACTTGGGCCGCTTCCTGTCACAGTGCTTGTCGAAACTCAGCTGCACGGCGGCCTCCATGGCCTGGATCTTGGCAGCGCTGTCCCCATACAGGCGCTTCATCTCGGCCTGGCGGCGCTCGCCGGGCCTCTCGGTCGGGGGGTCCACCGAGCGGTGGCTGCTGTAGTACAGGTCGTGGTCGGCGTTCACGTAGTCTTTCAGGCGCTGGGCGTCCAGCTGCTGCTGCCGTCCTGAGAACGAAGCAACACGGGGACAGGGGGCGGGGTGAGCCCGGGGATGCGGCTGCCAGCTGCGCCGCCAGGTTGGGCCTGGCTGTGCCTGCCGAGAGGCTCACTAGGATCTAAGGCATCACCCGCACACCGTTGCCCGCGTGCCTAGGAGACGCACTGTGTGCCTATCTGGGAGGCATACGCTGCCAGAAACGGCAAACAGCCGCTGAGAAACAAGTTGCCCAGCACCCTCAAACCCGAATACAGCTCTTTCATCTATGTGACCTGCCTCGAGCTGTCCAGCTGGGAAGGGCTGGCGGGGAGCTCGCCTGTTCTCACACACTGTTCCAGGCCAGCAGGGCAACGAAATGCCTCCTGCAAAGTCCCGGGTTGCAAGAAGTAGTACTTCTGTGTACAAATGAGGTGCTGGGGGACAAAAGCTCAGCCCTGTGTTATAGGTTTTGATTTTAGGTAATCTGGCAAAGAGCAAGTGCTGGTACTACAGAGCTGCAGTGATGAGCCCCGATCCTTCCTCACAGCCAAAGCACAGAGCACACCAGGAAATGGAGTCAAATAATTCAACACTTGCGCAAGGCAACAGGGTCGAGCCAGGGCAATCCTGCCAAAGGAAGGAGGACCTGACTTCTAAGCTTCCTCTTATGTTAACAGATCTGCAACAGTGCAGTGACTTCCTCACCGTGGGACTTGACTTTCCACTTGTTTTGTTTAGGCTAAATTTCAAGTGATAGAGTTATTTGATTTTAATCCTACTAATTTAAATAGATTCTTATAAAGCAAGAAATTCATTATATTATGTGAACAGAAATAACATAAACATATCAATGAAACAACGTTGTATAAGGTAAAATTTACCCAACTGACAGATTTTTGTAAGCAACTCTTTTGGGAAGAGAGAAATGGAGAGCAGAATGCACACATCTGTAGCTTTTATTGCTACGGAGAGAAATGCTACTGAATAAGGAGTGAAGATGGTTATAGGGAATAAAACAATGACATAAATCATTCTTTCTTTCCTTGTATCTTTTTTTTTTTTTTTTTTTTAAAGCAGAAAGTTTAGAATAGAAGGGAACCCAGAGTGAGCAGCAAGGCATGTCTGTGGCTAGGCAGTCACATCTGTAATTCCATTTTTCGCACGTTATCACCTTGGGGTTGAGAGGGAAGGAGTTCTGGAAACTTGGGAACACTATAAATGTGGAAGGCCATTTCTGACTTAGCACATCTGCAGGTTATTTCTTTTGCAAGGAGGTCATCTACAGATATGCCAAATGATTGTCAAGCAAACAAGTGCAACGTAACCATTACCTTATCCCAGAAAGGAGATGTAACCGGCTTACTGTGAAATGCAGAAGTGATCCACAATACTGGCGTAAGGTGCCAACAAAGGGGAGGTCAAGATGTTTTTCTTCCTCAGTCTTGGTCTTTTTGCCAAGTTTGAAACATGACGATGTGAGCTGTTTAGTTCTCACGGGTGTTGAGATTGTATACCCCCACCCTCCAAAGACGACTCTTCTGAAAGTGTGGCATTTCCACATTAGTCGGGGACCACAGGTTCCCTCTGCCACCTAAGGGAGACTTGGGTGCTTATCAATCCTTGGGCCCAGTAGAAACAATCCCTCGAGGGGGAGCTGCGGGGGCCCCAGAGCCTGTGCAGCTAGAGAACAGAGGTTCCCAGACCACAGTCCTTTTACTTTCACATTTGTCCCAAGACTATAATCAGCCTTACTGACAGATCTAGTGACACAACAGATGTTCAGCTTCCTGTCTAAATCTGAGTTTTTGCATTTACAAGTTTTAATAAACACTGGATCCACGCTATCTTAGCAAGTGTTGTTCTCTGCCACCAGGATATGTGAATTTAACCTTATTTTTACATCTTTCTCTTTTCTTTGTAATTTAACACGGTTCTGCTACTCTTCCAACCAAAACTATCTTACAGGTAGTAAATCAGTATAACAAGTCTACATTGAAATGTTTCCTCTGATGGTTGACATGTGTAGATGAAACACTGTTAATACGAGCCAAGTGTAGCTGCCAGTCAACGTAGCCAGTGCAGCTCCACAAGTTCACAGTTGGCACATGCTCATGGGTCACCATCACAGGGTTTTAGTTAATGAAGCTCATTCAGTATAAGAAAAACAGAATAAAAGGCACAGCCCTCTGCTCTTAATTCTCTTCTTGTCTCTCCCTCCTGCTCAGGCTTCCTTATGAAAATTTAAGGCTCAACCCTTGTCCCCTCCTTGCCTCACAAGAGGCTTAGAGCTTTCCCGGTTTCCAGCAAGGTGGGTATTTATTTATTTATTTATTTATTTAAATTTTATTTATTTGAGAGAGACAGAGAGAGAGAGAGAGAGAGAGAGAGAGAGAGACCATGAGCAGGGGGAGGGAGAGGGAGAAGCGGACTTCCTGCTGATCAGAGAGCTCAACAACAAAGGGCTTGATCCCAGGACCTTGAGATCATGATGTGAGTGGAAGGCAGACAACGCTTAACCAACTGAGCCACCTAGGCGCCCACAGCATGGTGGGTAGTTGCCCTAAAACAGAGACCTAAGGGGCGGTTGGTTAGACTGTCCCCTGCACTGACTGGCTAGCACCAGAACCCACCTGTGGAAGTCATGTATGGGGAAAGGGCACTGTCGCCTTCACGACCCCCCACCATCCCCAGCCCCAGGAGGACACACAATGCCTGATACAAAGCAGGTGCTCAGGAAATGACTGCTGAGAGAAAGCTTGGACAGAGGCCATACATTATTTTTTGTAAATAGCTGTTTCTTACAGATGCTGTTGAAGAAAAATGATGACAATTCAGGGATAGAAACAGATGCTCAAATCTCAAAAGGTGATGGGCAGTGCTCCCTTAGCAAGAAAACATTCATCCTGTAGGTTCCATGGCAGAGAGGATGGGGGAGATGGGGGCACCAATAAGATGGGGTCTGATCTTGTTCTTTTACATCTGAGTCACTGTGCCTCTACTTACTTAAACAATTGGAAAAAAAAAAAAAAAGAAAGTCCTGGGATCCCTGGGTGGCGCAGCGGTTTGGCACCTGCCTTTGGCCCAGGGCGTGATCCTGGAGACCCGGGATTGAATCCCACGTCGGGCTCCCGGGGCATGGAGCCTGCTTCTCCCTCTGCCTGTGTCTCTGCCTCTCTCTCTCTCTCTGTATCTATCATAAATAAATAAAAAATTAAAAAAAAAAAAACCATAAAACTTCCTTAAAAAAAAAAAGTCTACAAATTTGAAAACCAGTTAGCTTAAAACCAAATGCCTTCACACTGGCTGGACACTGGAAGCTACCGCTAAGCACCTGAAAGTACTTTAGCTTATACTGACTTACGGGACCCAAGCAAATCTTAGAACAGAATATCCTCACTTGAAGGCATCACTTATTCTGTTTTCTTTTTATTGCTTCCTTCCTCAATGAAAGAAAGGATTCTAAATCACTAGCAGTTTTTCTTCCCATCAAAACAAGGTGAGGGCTCGACCAGATGGAGAATCATCTGACTGAAGCAGAGAAGCAGAACATCATACTTCAGACATAACAGGTGCCTTGTCATGGAGAAGTTGGTTATTTTTTTATTGAAAACAGATGTGGGACTCAATGTTACCCAGTGCTTTTTTTCCTCACAGCCTATTCAGTCATGGGAATTTGTCTTTTTTTTTTTTTAAAGATTTTTATTTATTTATTCATGAGAGACAGAGAGAGAGAGAGAGAGAGAGGCAGAGACACAGGCAGAGGGAGAAGCAGGCTCTATACAAGGAGCCCGATGTGGGACTCAATCCCGGGTCTCCAGGATCAAGGCAGGCCCTAAACCGCTGAGCCACCCAGGCTGCCCTGGGAATTTGTTTTAATACAAGTCAGAATATCTTTTTAGATTCCAGCTTTAAAACAGGGCTGTAGTGGGTTGAATGGTGCCCCCTCCCCCCAATTCACATCTATATGGAACCTCAGAATATGACCTACTTTGGAAATAGGGTCTTTGCAGATGTAATTAAGGATCCAGATGGGATCATACTGGATTAGTGTGAACCCTAAACCCAACAAGAGTGTCCGTAGGACAGACAGAAAAGGACACAAAGACACACAGGAGGGAAAGCATGTAAACAAGGGGGCAGGATTGGAACTATGCTCCCATGGGCCAGTGAACACCAGGAGCCCCTCCCAGAACCTTTGGAGGGAATGGGTCCTGCTAACACCTTGATTTCAGACTTCTGGCTTCCAGAACTGTGAGAATAAATTTCTGTTGTTTGAGCCAACCAATTTATGGTCATTTGCTACAGCAGCCCTAGGAAACTAATATAATGGCTAATATACATATAGGGTTAAAACAAGAAAACAGGGCAGCCCCTGTGGCCCAGCGGTTTAGCGCTGCCTTCAGCCCGGGGTGTGATCCTGGGATCGAGTCCCACATCGGGCTCCCTGCACGGAGCCTGCTTCTCCCTCTGCCTGTGTCTCTGCCTCTCTCTCTCTCTGTGTCTGTCATGAATAAATAAATAAAATCTAAAAAAAAAAAAAGTAACAGTAATTTCTTCTATTAAGGAGAAATGCTACTGGATCCCATCTGGGTCAGGGTATGTAACCTTGATATTTTCCCCCTCAATCTATAAATGTACATGATGCTACTACCAAGGTGGACTTACAGTCTACAAAGGAGAACAAAATCATGAGAAGTGACTTGGGTTCTAGAAGACTTGACATAGCAATAAAACATTCATCTAGTATTCCACAGATAATTAGCGCAAAGGCAGAACATTTTGGAAGACAAAGCGCTAAGACAAATGAGTGTTGAAGAACGTTATTTTTCCTTGTTTTTCCAGGATTAGCATGTCTTTCTGACTGTATTCTCTGCTATGTTGCCAGAATTAATGATTTTAGCACAACTGAGGAAAAGGACAGGCTTGATTTATATCACAAATGACTCATATCTGGCTCGTCAGCAACACCCCCAGAACACAGGTGCTTGCCAGCAGACCCGGAGCCATTTCTGATGGGTCTTCATCGTCACCTCACATCCCTCTCTGTGACAAATGAAGTCAGTGGATAATCACCAGTTTTGCTTTTAGTATAAAAGTGCATTTCCCCTCCTCCCTTCCACTTTTCTACGGCCTCTTATATGCACCCTTCCACCGACTGGTTTTATGTGCTTTGAACATCTGAGCTAGACGAGACACACACAGGATGAAACTGTGCTCAGCCAGTTAGCCGCCACGCTTTACTCCCATCGACTAGACCACAGCGGCTCCCTAAACTCGGGGCGGTACGCCTCACTGGGTCCTCCAGGTTTTCCATAGAGGGTGGAGTGAGGACAAACTGGATGGGGTTCCAGTTGACTGACAGAAGGTTCGGTAATGAAAACTCATCTAAACCTTCCAGTTCCAGTGGACACAGCATGACGGAGCAGATGTCTGCTATCAAATGTCTGGAAGCACACCTGGGCCCTGTGGTAAGAATAGCACTTTGAATGCTAAGTGGGGAGTGGACTCACCCCCTTTCTTTCCCGATCTCAACTGACCCTATCCCTCAAGGCCTCGAGCACACTCCATTTTCTACCACTACCCTGTGAAACTCCTCTGGTGGCTGAGTTCATTGGTTCTACCCATCACTGCAAAGTACCCGGGGACCATGCCATAGATGGCTCTGCTAGGTATCAGTTGTAATTTGATTTTGTCTCCTCTTCCCAACTGGGTTTAAGTTTAAGCTCTTTGTGAATATGTCTCTGTTTTAACCCCACTGTTACTCCCAAGACACAGGGGAAGCCTGAGACAAGAGTGGTGCTGTTTGTTTCGGAGGGCCTTCTTCTCCACTGGGAATGATGACTTTCACTCATTTCCAAGTATTAGGACTATAACCTTGCAGTCTCAGTTGATGGTTATTTATGACTAAAACATGATACTTTTCTTAACCTAACAATAAACATTTTTCCTAAGAAATAATTGAAAACACAGCTGACCTTTAAAGACTCCACGATTATCTACTTTCCCATAAGTAATATTACCAGTGAAGTTTTAAATAACGGAAATATCTCATTAGGAAATGACATATAACATAATCAAAAGCATGTCTGTTCCCACTGCACAGAAGGAGTTCTTTATTTACCCTACTTAATTTTTTTATCATTAAAATATGTTAGAGATTATCTGGAAGAGCAGTAATCACAAACAAGAACATGCTGTCCAGTATGAAGGATCTTATTCTAAGAAAATATAAGACTCAGATGATGATGAATTATATAACATATACTCCCATGGAAGTGAATAATACTGAAAAATAAAATCAAATTTCTCTATGTTTCTCCCTGCTAATGAAACTTCATAAAATTCTGTGTTCTCTAGATGATCCATATTCAAAGTTGAATTTGCCTTTATTGAGTAAGTAGCTTCTAGTGGTTCAAAGAGCAAAACAAAACATCTTTAACCAAGTATTCACACTGCTCAGGTCCTTAATTTTTACTAAAATATATCCCAACTGTGTATATAACTTAACTTCCATGAACATTTCTAGTGAAGTAATGGATTAGAAAGCACCATGGGCATTCAAACTGCTTACATCTGAGTTCGTCCTTCATTACTGCTTGAAGGAACATGTATTCATCCTATACGCCACCAAAAGTGCTGGTGAAAAAAATAAGGCCCGTTGTTTTTGGGGGTGCAGGGTCAGGCCCTGGCAGTTTTTAAATCTTTAGCAGTCAGAGTAGACTCTGACACCACAGCATGTTCTCACCCTTGCCAGACAATCTCCACATCTCCCAAAGACCTGATCATATTTTTAGAGCAGACCACAGATAAAAGCATCGCAGAGACCCTATGACAAGCAGTTTTCAATTATGTTACAACTACACATTTACAAAGAACAAAGAAGCAGAAGCTCAATGTGTTTAGTGCTGTTATATTAGTAATATGGAAGTACATTCATTTTTTCCATGTATTTTAGTATATTGTTATACTGAACAAGAATGGCCTTGAAACGGAATAAAAGTAGTCTTAATGACTACTTTGATGAAACTGTGTTAACTAAATTGGATCGACACCAAAACTTTGACTCTTTTGCTTTTTAAACATTCTAAGTCAATTTAAGAATTTGAAAAGTGGGGAGCAGAAATATGACTTTTTTTGAAGCACAGAACATCTTTAGTAAAATTATGCAGAATCTCAATGAAGCACTAATTAACCCAATCAGCATCAGAGTAAAATCAGTATATGGTTAATAATCCACACTAAACGATGAGTTATTAGCAACTAACCATAACAACTAACATTTCTTGGGCACTAAACTCATAGCAAGCATTGGTTCTCTAATTTATCTTTTATTATCTCATCGAATCTTCATAATTACCACTCCATTAATTAGGATCCCCATTTCAGCGGTGAGGTGACTCAGGCACAGGCCAGTTAGGGTAGGTGACCCACAAGATTAAGAACCTCTAGCTGAGAAGTAATGGAGGCGAGCAGGACCCTGTAACACGAAGTCTTCACATGGCCTTCTCCTTGGGTGCGTGTCTATCTCTGTGTGCAAATGTTTCGTTTTGTAAGGATACATACTGGGTCAGGGCTTACCCTAAGGACCTCATTTTAACTGAAGTATCCCTGTAAAGACCCTATGTCCATATAAGCTCACATCCTGAGGTTGGGGGTTGGGGACAGGACTCCAACAGATTTTTTTTTTTTTTAGGGAACACGATTCAGCTGACAGCAGTGATGATAATAACAGTGCAATCTGGAGCCTTGAAGTCACCTCAGCAGATTTGGGAATAATTAAAAAACAAAATATGAAGTTCATCAAGTTTATCAAGCATTCAAACCCTAACTTGCTTTGTAAAATGTCCTACATAAGCAAAGCAAGTTTTGCACTTTATGAGATATTTGAAAACCTCTGAATTAAGGCTCACAATTAATACTGAAACACTTCATTCATTCATTCAAAACAATATTAAGTGCCAGGTACAACTTAGCAGGTAATTTCTATGACTTTTTTTTTTTTTTGAACTTACTTAGAATCCTTCCTGACCAAGATAAGAGGAAGAACGGGAATGGCTCTTAGCCATATCTGTAACTTAACTGCTGATATTGCAAAGACACCCTCAGTCACTTTATTTTCATTATCTTCGTATCTATTTTTTATTGGATGACCATCTATCAAGTTAATTTTAAATTAGTAGATAATTCAAAATGGCCTTTTAGATGACTGGAGTTTGTTTTCATCCTTAATTAGAATTACTATCATAGAAGTATCAATCTCTGGTTGGAAAAACACGTTTTTCTACCCTCTGGTAAGGACAACAGAAAGAAACCCCACATCCATCATATTTTCTTTTTCAAAAGCTGTAAAAAACGGCATTCCAACCAAATGTGGACATGCTTGAACATGTCCTCTCCCTCATCATTGTCTACTTTTAAGATACCAAAGGGCACGATACTGTATACAAAGCCCACTGCTCAGTTCCTGGTACCTACTGGGGATCGATAAGCCCCTCATCAGGAAAACATAGATCAATCAAAGATGGAATCAAAACTTGCCCAACCTCAGACTTCTATGTTTCTGTTTATTCTGTTTGTTTCTATTTATTAAAAAATTCTAAGTAAATATCATATAATTATAAGTCACTAAAAGCAACATTGAAACTAGATCCTGGTGATAATCAGGGAACAGTGTATCTGTTTGAGACACTTCAAATGTAAACGGTCTGGTGACTTTTCATAGTAAGGAGAGCACAATAAGCAGTTCTAGTTCTTTGCGGCAACTTGGTAAGAAATTAAAAAGAGACAATTCCTTCTTTGCCACGGAACAGAGAAAAGCATGATCACACTTCTCTGACTCTAATAGCTGACTGCTTCCACGTGGGATCCAACCAGAAGGTTTGAGTCCTACACTGTTTAGGTTCACAGTGACTCTGCTCTGGACAGCGCTTCATAATTAAGACCTGGTAGCTCTCTGGCACCAGGGAGGTCTCAGCGCTCTGTGCCAGTGAGGCGGCAGCAGTATTTTAAAAACCTGGCAGTCTCAGGGCCAAACCCAATCCTGAAGCTTGCGCTAGAAGAAGCAGCACGGGGGTTGGGAGTCAGGTTGACCCCGATGTGAATCCCAACAGCTAGTGATCAGTTGTGTACCTGGAATAAGTGAATGAACCTTCTGCAGGGTTGCCTGCACTGTCTGTGAACGGGGTGGAATACGCTCGAAGGGCCGGTGTGTAGATGAGGGAACACAGGCACAGGCCCACACCCCATGTGCCCGAGGGTCTGACACCCGGGAGACGGCAGAGGTGCCCCTGGGACATGCTGTGTCCTAGGGTAGGGCTAGAGAAAGTCCTGTATTAGAATACCTCTGGAAACTCAGACAGTGGGGGTGTGGCTGGATGGGGAAGAGTAGGAAGGTATAAGATAACTAGAGGATAGAAGACAGTGCCAAAGGCAGGGCAGGGAAAGGAAGTGTGTGGGGGAGGGGCGCGCACTTACGTCGCTCTTCCCGGTGCCTCTCGGTCTGGGCGAAGTACTGGCGCAGCTCCTCTGTGATCACCATGTTGCTCAGGTCGCACTCCACACCCCCATCCGACTCAGACCCTGCCTCCTCCTCTGCCTGTTTCGTCTTGCGGGCTGGTGGATGCTGCCGGGACCTTCTAGAATGCGAAGAACCGCAGTGCGAGTCCGTGGAAGCCAGGAGATGGTCACGAGAGGGCCGAGGAGATTTGGCCTGGTTGGGGTATGAGCTTCCGGGAAGGGCCGCAGGAGGGAAGGGCCATGGACAACTGAAATAAGATTCTATGGCCTTCCTGTAGGCACCATGGTGGCTTTGCATCCAGGCCATCGCCTGATGGTAATGTTGCCAGTATCTTGCATAGACTGGATGAGAAAACCAAGGGTCGGTGGCTTTCCATGATGCTGCCTACAGAATAAAGGGAGGTGGAGGCTACATACCATATAGTTCTTTCTCAAGAGAACCTTCCAACGTTTAACCAAGTAAACATGTATCTACCGAGTATCTACTAAATACCTACTCTACATTAGGACACTACTGCTGGGCTAAGGAGGACACAGGACACGTCCATGCCCACAACACACACCAACTACGTGTGCATGAGGCACACACAGAACAATTAGTCTGAGGTTATGGCCAGGATAAAGTGGGAACAGAGGCTAGTATTTACCAGTTTTACATAAGATATAGGCAGAGATACAATGTCAACCATCTCAGCCCTCTCTACCCATGATAACTAAGCAACTCGTTCTAAGAACCACATGGACTAATGTTCTCTATTGCTCCGTCACTGCCCCCTAAACATCTGCTCACTCCTCAGTGCCTGGACAAAAGCTGTCTAGCAACTTTCCCAATGGTGCCTTTACTTTCAGCCTTTGGATGAATTGTTTCTTTGGTCTTCTCCATCATGGAATGAGAATACCAAGACTCTCAAGACTAAAATTTACCTTTTTCTCTTATGAGTTAAAAAAAAAAAAAAAGTCTTACCTTTGCTGCCATCTCTGACTGTGGAAGTACAAATGGGCACTGAAACTAGGAAAGAACCACAGTGCAAACATGTGGTCAGTACACGTGTGATATCTGTGGCTATTTCATGGTTTACAAGCGGCTCCTCAGAGATGGGCTTTCCAGTACCATGCCTGATCTCCACGCTACATACATACACTATAGGGCCCTGGCACCGGGGGTATGACCTTGTGCGCTGAAAACGAGGGATCCCCTTAGATACGATTCTGTGGTTCAAAAGACACTGCATTTTTCCAATATTTGTTAACCTATTCAAAGTAAAGACTGGAAAGAACCATACTAGTTAATATGTATATAAAAATATTAATATAGAACATGAACTAAAAATCTACAACTATTACTTTATTTACTAATCCTTAACTCATGCCGATGCCAATTTAAATTAACCCTAGATGGCCCCACGGCTTGAACAGAGTATGTCTTGCCAGCTCATTGGAAATCATTACTGGGTCTTGCCTGCCAGATTTGGGACTTGGAGAAGCCTCTCCAAATGAGATCTCTCTCCAGCCTGGGTTGTGCCTTGGGCTTTAAGCCCCCAGACAAGCCTTGTTTTGGTTTTGATTGTAATTTGCATCTCTCAGCCAGTCTATGACACCACATACTCCCTGCCTAACCACTCTGCATCTCTGTAGAAGAAACTTCCATGAAGACTCTCCACCAAGTGCCCGCATAGAATGCCTTTGCCCAACAACCTTGCTCAGCCAGGATTTACTCATTTTGCCCCTACCTACCTGCTTGTGATGGTACTGAAATAGCAGAAGATACTTAAAGTTTAATCTGCAGCTGTACCTTTTATGAACCATTTAAAATAATTTGATTTCCCCCCTTCCTGTTCAGGAGTTCAGAGCTACTAAAATGCCAGCGAACATCAGAATGTACTTAAAAAAAAAAAAGGTAAAATATCCTGGTATGTCTGGCTGGCTCAGTTGGTAGAGCACGCAACTTTTGATCTCAGGGTCATGTGAGTTCAGGTTCCACATTGGGTGTAGAGATTACTTTAAATAAAAACAAAAAGCAGGGATGCCTGGGTGGCTCAGAGATTGAGCGCCTGCCTTTGGCCCAGGGCGTGAGCCCGGAGACCCGAGATCGAGTCCCATATCGGGCTCCCTGCATGGGGCCTGCTTCTCCCTCCGCCTGTGTCTCTGCCTCTCTCTGTCTCTCATGAATGAATAAAATCTTTAAAATAAAAAGCAGAAGAAAACCAAAAGTACTATCCTAGAATGCATGAGAATTTAAGCATCTGTTAGATGAAACTACTAACACAATGTGATGCTGAGCAAACAGCTACTTGGGTTTTGAAACTCTGGGAAATCAGATGCTGAAGGAGGCCTGTTTCTCCTCATTTAATTAGAGGGTAGAATTTAAAATTCTCTAAGAACTTGCTTATTTTGTAATATCTATCAGATGTTTTGCTATGGTTAATGTGGAAAATTGAGATGTTAAATTGACCACATCTTTTTAAGATTTAGCCTGAAGAGAACTATTCACTTTCTTTTTTAAATATAATAAGCTTTCAAATAGGCTATTTTTAAGAGGGTTGACATGATCTTCTGTAAATTTATCTTAAACACAGCCCACACTTCCTGTTCACTGTTCTAAGTTCAGGAATACACACACATGCAGTGAATGTAAACTGGAAAAAAGCTAACCAAGGCAGTGAAGATGTAAGTGTAAAGTTCACATTACTCTAAAACTATAATTTAAAGGTTTAAAACGTGAGCAATTATCTGAAAACCTGGCTAAGTGCCTATGTGCTTTACAAGCTACTGAAGAAATAGAAAAGTCAATACAATTAAGGGGTTAACCACCCAGAGAAGTAACACTAACACAAATGAAATTACAGTAGAAATCAGTACATATTTGAGTGCTTAACTGTAAGGTGCAGCCTGTAAGTGGCTAATTCATTCCAGCCCGGTTTCATATTGGTATCACTGAAATCTGAATAATTTTCTGAGAGCCTGCAGCACATAATGCCATTAAAGTGAACTACATGTGTGTCTTAATCAAATTTGTTTTACAGATTAACAAGTAGCACAGGAATTAAATTTGAAAAGTCTGGGAGGCATCTACGTGTCTTCTGGAAATTAAGAGTTTTGAATCCAGACTTCTATGCCTCATAAAACATACTTAGAACCAGGATCAATGTAAATATTGATTATCCTGAACTGGGAAGTCTGGATTCAGCCTCAAATATGCCATAAACATTATTGTAATTGAACACTACTGCAGACCTTGGGAAGTCCTGTTTTTATTTATAATTGGGAAAATCCAGCCTGGCTTTAAAAGTAATAGTACAGTTATTCTGAAAATGTACAAGATGGCTTATGAGAGGTGCCACTTTGCAGAGATAGAAATGTAGGCATGTGCTATCAGGTAGACAACTGTTTAAGAGGCTCCAGTGTAATTCATCACGTTCACCAGGCTGCTCGAATGTCAATGACTGTGATTAAAAGGGGGCAGGGAGAACTAATTTGAGGAGAGGCTACTTATTTATGCCTTTGATTCGACAAATACTTTGCTAGAAGGGCTGCCACGTTATATTGTCTCAGAGATCACACAAGGCACGCTCTGAGCGCTTCCACAAGGAGGAAGCGAGGACAGTGGGCTGAGGTGGCTGAAGAAAGCCAATTCCAGGCTTCGGAGCACAAGCAGCTCGGATTCAGTCCGGTGTACCAGCACCCTAAGAGCAGACCAACTAGTTGGCTAAGGCACTAGACTCTTTCAAGACCCAGGCTGTGAAGGAAAGCCGAATTTATCTTAATGATGGAATACAGGCATCTTGGACATCAATTTTATTTTGATAGTGCTTTCTGGTTTTGGCCGTTGGGACTTCTAATCAAATCTGCTGCCATCCTTCGGCAAGTTTAGAGTCCTGGAGCTGTGTGTCACATATGCTCACTCACCCCTGGCTTTATTATTCTCCTTCCTCAAATTCCAAAACCTCTGTATCACATTCTTTTACATCTTGAGTACTTTAAGATTCTTCAATTCCTACAGATATTCAATTAAAAGTAGTTCCTGAGAATGAATGACAAACGAAGTAAACTCTCAGAAACAAAATAAAGAAGGTCTAGAAAAACGTCTAAAGGAGTAGTAGCTTGCACGCAGCTTTATAACTATTGGCTTGCACTTTCCAGCACTACTCTTGGTATTTTATGCCAGCAAATTGTTTCTATAAAGGGTCAAATAGTAAACATTTTGGGTTCGTGGGCCACATACAGTCTCTGTCACACATTCTTCTTTTTCTCCTTTTTTTTTTTTTTAAATTAAAAACAACCCTTTGGCAATATAAACACCATTCTTCGCTCCCAGGCAGTACAAAAAACAAGCTGTGGGCCATCCTTTGCCAGCCCCTGTTTCATGTGAATACGTTATTCAGTTGTATAGACTCTGCTCTCAGTACGCAGAGTGCCCTCATTGTTGCTCATTCTCCACTTGGCAAGCCGTGGAGGAACTCTGTGATTCTCACTCATCTCGTAAATTAGGCTTAGAATAAGATGAGTGGAAGCAGGACAACTGTGATGATGACCAACCAACAATCTTGGTGACCAGTTCCTAATATCTGGGATAAAAGAATCTTCTCCACAGTTAAATAAGGAAATGGAACCATTGCTTAAAGATCTACATAGGTATTTAAAGACTTAATTAAAAAACAAAACAAAACAAAAACCCCAACTCCTGCAATCAACTGGGCTTAGAATGCACAAGTACTGCCATGATTTCTGATGGAGACCCTACTAGCTGCCGTGGGCTGGACAGCAACCCACCAAGGATGGGAAGCAGGAGAGTTCCCAGCTCTTCCCTGGAAGAAGGAATACATATCCTTTTTTGCTAAGTGCATCAGTGAGTTCCTAAGGGAAAACAAAAACCTCCTCTAAGAATTGGTCCTGTTAAGTTTTTCAAAGCGGCTACTCTTTCCACCCAGAGAACTTAAGGACCCAAAAAAACGCCTGGGTTTCTGAAAAGCCAACATAAAACTAATTCTAGACATTAAAACACTTTCAGCCACCAGTTCAAAGAAAAGCAAGCTTATGATTGCAGCAGATTTAGATGTCTTTCAATGGTCCTTAATTTTATCTTTCATTCGTCACCTCTTTGGGAGTATCTCCTACTCTTTTATGGCACACGTCTTCATGGACTGAACAGCAGCTTTTCTCCTAATGGGATGGTGGAGCTGAAAGAAAAGAGAATGGCAATGTCAGGGCAGGCTGGGATCCACAGTACCAGCAAACCAGCAGCCCTCCCCAGTGAGCACAATGGCATAATAGTCACTACCCAGCTGAGCCCAGGCGAGTACAGAGACCGAATTCATTGTCTGTCCTCAACCACCAGAGAAGGAAGGAAAAAAACAGCGCTGAGGTCATTCATGAAACACTGCCGAGGCCTGGGGCCCACAGGCAAGGCAGTGCCCTGAGTCTTAAACCATGTATTTTCCCATATAGCCTTTCTTAAAGAATACACTTATTCTTCAATTAATCTGCTTATCCTGGAGATGTATGTTTATTTACTTTGGAGATTTTTTTTAAAAAAGATTTTATGTATTTATTCATGAGAGACAGAGAGAGAGAGAGAGAGAGAGAGAGGCAGAGACACAGGCAAAGGGAAAAGCACGCTCCCCACCGAGCAGAGAGCCTGATGCGGACTCGACCCCAGAACCCTGGGATCATGACCTGAGCCAAAGGCAGACACTAAACCACTGAGCCACCCAGGTGCCCCGGGGATGTATTTTTAAATGCATAAATATACATGAAGACTAACAGACAAGAGCTCTGTCGTTTTCAATGGAAGAAATTCAACTATTTCCATCAAGTCATTAAAAAATTCCACAAATAAGTAATGTGGTTTTGTTGAGAGGTTGTGACATCATACATATTTTTTTATTGTGTATCTATATTCCTATAAATACAGGATCTTGGTGTGTCATCACAATCAATAAATAAAAACACAAATTCCCCTGAAACAATAATGTATAGTCTGCAACTGGATTTTTCTATCTAGCCTCTTTTTCCAGTAGAATTCTGAAAATTAAATACATGAAAATTCACCTGCTTTGAATTTTGCATAGAAACACATTAGAAATCAATCATTAAGTTATGCTGGCTAAAGTCTCTAATGTCAAACCTTTCTTTTTTTAAAAGATTTTATTTATTTATTCATAGAGACACACAGAGAGAGAGAGAGAGGAAGAGACACAGGCAGAGGGAGAAGCAGGCTCCACGCAGGGAGCCCGACGTGGGACTCGATCCCGGGTCTCCAGGATCGTGCCCCGGGCTGAAGGCGGTGCTAAACCGCTGAGCCACCAGGGTTGCCCACGTCAAACCTTTCTGATAAGATTCCTGATTGACTTGGTTCTCTTAATCAACCAGATAATTTGGAGGATCTAATTTAGGCCTTCGGTATATGTTTTAGGGTAGAAGGGGGTCTGCTGGAGATTGCTCAAAATAAATGAAGATACAACGAGAAATGGAAATTCCATAAACTGAGTCATGTGTGGTTCTAATGAATTTCCATATATGTACTAATAACCCTATCAGAGATGTCTTTCAATAATATATACACCGGTAGGAACTTCCTCAACTAAGATAATAATAAAAGGAGGTTTTCTGACAGCATTGCTTCCTGCCCACCACCCCCAGCTGCCTGATGGGAGTTTCAACTGGCTTAATACCCTTATGGGCTCCCTCCTGTGGCTTAGCATGGTCCCTGCTGGGTAATGTGGTCAACAAAGATGGCTCAAGAATGCCTTCTACCCTCATGAATCCAAGTTCTATCTTCCGGCCAGACACAGGCCTCCCACAAGGGCACATGCTACCAAGTTCAGAGACCAAGTTCTGTAGTGTTGAGAACAACCATCGTTAAAACTAATGGGCGAGGGAGCCAAAAGTCTTATTTCCTTTTCATTCCTTCAATCCCAAACCCGTTTACTCTCTTTGGATATTGCTATTAGAAGTAATGCCACAAACGAAGGTGTGGCATGGGGAAGGGGAAAGACGGAAAGGATGTAGTTAAACATTGTTCTTTAAAAAAAAAAAAAAACAAGACAAGACATGGGGCACCTGGGTGGCTGAGTGGTTGAGCGTCTGCCTTTGGCTCAGGGCGTGATCCCGGGGTCCTGGGATCGAGTCCTGCATCGGGCTCCCTGAAGGGAGCCTGCTTCTCCCTCTGTCTCTCATGAATGGATAAATAAAAATGAAAACAAAACAAAACAAAACCCACAACCTGGCACTGTTTATCACCAGGGTGATAGATTTTTGAGTGGATTTATTTGCAAGTTCATGAAATCCCTATGGGGCCAAAGTCAAAATCTTAAGTGAAATAGGAGGCCATTGAAAAACAAAGTGACCCTCCGACTCATGAGCACAACAGGCAATGGGATAGTTGAAAACTGGGATAACCAGTAAGGATGTAACAGTAACAGAACTCAGAGGACAAAACAGTAAATTCATTTCACTGCAAGTGAATCCTTCACAAAGCAAACCTAGTGTGACTGTAAGGGACCAAGGGTTGAACAGGCAGGTTATGCAAGTTCGGAGCCTACCAGCAAAAGGCACGACTCATTAAAAATGGTTAAAACCACCAGTAGGTTTCAGGAGCTTTATTTCAAGTCTATAAAGACATACATGGTAATTCCATTTAATCAGTGTCTTTTCTGAATTTATACGGCAATTAGTACATCCCACTCATTTAGTCAATTACTTATAGGCATGGATTTTGAAATGTTTCTTTTATATTTCCTATTTTCCTTCCAGCATAAGAAGCATAGGTATATTTTCCTGCGTTTGCATGCTGGTGAGATTGTTTTTTTCCTGATAACAGCGTCTCCTCCTCCTTCTGCCTTTCCTAAATAAACTGAGTAGCTAGTCACTCAAGTAACCGTAAAGGTCCGAATCTTTTCCAAAAGCAGATGTTTAAATACATAAAGTTTTTTTTTTAAGTATTTTCAATTCATCTGATCTTTGACCAACCAGTTACACTCTTTTTTTACTTGTCCAACTGTTATATGGCTGAATTTCCTATTGGGAGAGAAGGGGTCCAAGAGTCATATACACCTAGTTTGAAATCTCTCCAGCCTCCACTTGGCCTTAATTGTTCAATTTTCCCCGATCGTTCTCATCTGACTCCACCCTTAAATGCTGGATCTTAAAAACCAAAATATCTTTCACCATGTGCAAAACAGTTTTAGAATGAATATTTCTCTCTGGAGCTTTATATACTTTCCCAGCACAGCAATGAACATAGAGATCTGTACACCCTACCGTGAACTTGCCTTCAGTTATACGTATCCCGAGTCACTAACCAACGATCTTTAAAAATACATGGTATCTGTTGGCATTACCATCCCAAAGGAGCTGTTATAAGCTCTATTTATAGGTTGTATTTGTAAAGGTTATCTCCACCCCGCAATTCATGGAAACCCTGAGAGTAAACAGACCCAGAAGTGTCATTAATGTTTAGTCTAGACTTTCGAGTAATGTTGTTCTGACTTAAGGTGCAAAACCCTAGGAATACAGAACCTAGCCTATGAAACAACTTAAAAAAAAAAAAATCATTCCTGAAAAAGGTAAAACTGTTCAGAATCGTGTGATCTGTACTAAGAAACTCCCAGGATTTCAGAACTAAAAGGCACTTAGTTGGCCCTGGTTCAACTGCACTTAAATACTTAGAAAAGTAGGCGAAGGCCTTCTCCACCCCCACGTGTAAGGCGCATAAAAGACCAGAGGTGCCAAATGTTCTCTAGGTAACTTCCACCGGAATGCTTGGCCTCCCACAGAGGTCAAAGTGTAAGGGAAAGAGAAAACCCTAAGTTTTGAGCAGACGGGTCAATCAATATTCCAGACATCCTTGCAAGGATGAGGCTGCTCTGCGTGATGTTCTGTTCAGATACTGGGCTGTAGGGCCAAAGTCCGAGTTCAGTTTCCAGACTTGGCTTTTAACACAGTATTACTCGGCACCTCAGAATCCCGGGGGGGGGGGGAGTTTAATAGGAATAGGGATGCCTGGGCCCCAGTTCTAGAAATTCGAATTTAAGTGGTCCGGGATGGAGACCCGGGCATGACAATTCTTAAAAGTCATCCACTGATTTCCTAAGCGCTGCAGCTGAGAGTCTCTGGAACGAGTGTCCAGGCGCCATTAACCAGCAAGGATTTCAGAATCTCACGGGCCCCGCGGGATGACGTTACGACCCGTGACAGGCAAGCCCTCCGCTCTCCCGGTACCAGCGGAAGCCAGGCTCCGGGGCCTGCAGGCTCCTCCCTCACTCCCCCAAGGAAACCCAGCCGTCCCCGGAGTCACCTCGTGGGCTCGTAGCTCGCGGATCTCGGACGGTGGGCGAGGAGGGGCCTACTTCCTGTGAGGAGCTAGCATGGGCGCGGGCGGGAGGGGCTGTTGCCGGGGAGACCAGAAATGCGGTTCCGGCGCGGATCACGTGGCGCGCGCGCCGGAAGTCCCGCGCGCGCCGCCGCGTCCGCGCTGCGTTCTGCGCCATGTGGGAAAGTGTCGCGAGATCCGGTTCCGCCTCCCGGGGCGGAGCGTGGGGAATGGCTGGAGACGGGCGGGGAGGCAGGGGGCGGGGCTCCCGCGGCGCGCCGCCGCCTCTCGCACCTGTGGGTCCGCGGACGCGCGTGGCGCGGCGGGAAGACGACGGTCGTTTCGGCATCGCCCTCGTCCCGCGCGCCGGTTCCTTGACCCTCGGCTTTTGGCCCTTCTCTCGGCGCTCTCGTCTTCCCCTCCCGTCTTAGCCTCTCCTGTTTTTTTGTAATTTTGTATTTTTGAACTAGGAAGGCTGGGGGTCGTGGCCCAGGAGGACACGCCCAGGCTTTGGAAATAGTCACCTGGACCTAGTTCGAGTGCGATTATTATTTTTTTAATAATAAATTTATTTCTTATTGGTGTTCCATTTGCCAACATACAGAATAACGCCCAGTGCTCATCCCGTCTAGTGCCCCCCTCAGCGCCCGATTCTATAGCGTTCATTGACCTCCCGAGCCTCGGGTTCCCGCCCAGGACGTGCGAATAATCCTATTGGCAAGTGCAGCTGCCAGTGCCTGTGACACAACGTGAACAGGGTCATTGCAGAGCATTCACTAATAACCAGGCAAAGCGCTCCGCAGCCTCAGTGGCCTATCCCTTTCCGGGGTAGTTTGCCCTAGAAGGGGCATACTTCTGCCCTAGCAGAATTTATTCCAAGGAAAAACAGACGTTAAACCTGATGGCCATTGCAGAATCCTTTTTATTTATTTTTTATTTTTAAATGTTATTTATTCATGAGAGACACACAGAGGCAGAGACACAGGCAGAGGGAGAAGCAGGCTCCACGCAGGGAGCCCGACGTGGGACTCGATCCCGGGTCTCCAGGATCACACCCTGGGCCGAAGGCAGGTGCTAAACCGCTGCGCCACCCGGGCTGCCCCAGAATCATTTTTAAAAGTGAAAACAAAACAACTTAAATGCCTAATAAGAGCAGGGGGCTAAGTGAACTAGGCTCCACACATGGCGTGAATGCTGTTACCACGTTATTCCTCTATTACAGAAGAATCAAACACTGTAGAAGATTGACTACTATGTGTCAAGTATTATTCTGCATCTGCACTGTCCACTGCGGCCACCACATGCCTGTGCCTGTTGACACGTTGCAGAGTCTGAACTGAGGTGTGCCCTAAGTGTAGATCACAGTGGATTTTGAAGAATTGGCATGAGACAAAGAATGTAAAATTCCTCATTTTACATGTCAGGGAAGGACTGTTTGGGTTAAACGAAAAGAGATTAAAACTGATTCACCTTTCTCTTTTTGCTTTCTTAATGTGACTGCTACATTTGAGACGATGGATGTCCCATGCATCATCTATTATATATTTCTCTTGGACAGTGGTGGCCTATTTACCAGATACGCGATGGTGAACAAGAAGGGTTTTGTCCTCATAAAAGTGACACTCCGTTGAGTACAGCATAGACAATGAGCAGCTAAATAATGTCATCGTACATCTTGGTTATATGAAGAACATAAAATAACTGAAAGGGCCAGAAAAGGTATATATATTGAGGAGTCTTCCTCTGCTGTTCCGAAAATGGATGTGGAAAGAATGAGATCTCTATGGATAGAGTGGGAAGGGGATGGTGGGAGTGTGGTGTCTTCTGGGCAAAGTCAGGTATGGAATGAGGCTGATAAATCATCTGGGTCTGCTGGAACCTCTGCCTTAGGGAAGAAACCACATCAGGGGAGGAAGGAAAGAGAGAAGAAGAGTAAGACACTGGGGAGACACAGCTCAAGGGGCTGCTGGGAAACACGGGACAAAGCAGGCCTACGTGGATACGTTCCAGGTGAGGGCTACTGACCAGTACGTGTGCTGTAGTACGGTGGGTGCGTGCAGCTGTACGTAAGGAGTATACTGTGGAATGACATAGGATATGACCTTGGCAGCTGTCAGTCACACAGACTCAGCAGAGTGGCTCAAACTGTTGAACTATTTCTCTCTCTCTGGGAGTCAGGTGTCCAGAGTAGTAAGGTAGGTGCATGGGGCCAGGGCCTCAAATTTCACCTGTCTTGGACCTCCACGCTCCCTGGTTTGTTGGCACGGCCCATGTGATCAAAGACCTGGTCAGAGATGATGCACCGCCACACTGTCCTTCCAGCCCTGTTTCATTCATCCTCCAGAATGAATTTTAGTTATTATTCATTCAAATTCACTTGCATAAAAATATTGTTGCTGGGAAACACTAAGTACCTGAAAAGTGAGGCTCCCATTTGAAAAGGATGGACGTTGTCAGCTCCAGAGGCCTGACCAGGCAGAGAAACCCGGTTCAGAAATGGAGGTAGCAGAAGGCTGGATTTTTGTCTTGTGTTGTCGCGCCATCTGGTGGAAATTTATGGATCCTACTACTCTCTTTGCCCTCTTGCCTGGGATGGGCTTTCACTAGTGTCAGGTGTAAACCTCAGATTATAAATAACCCTTCATTGGATTTCAAAGCAAACAAACAAACAAACAAACAAACAAACAAACACCCTCCATTGGATTTCAAAAAAATCTTAAAGATGAGGAACCCTTTAAAGTAGGGTTTCTCACCCTCTGCACTATTGACATTTGGGGCCAGATAATTCTTCATTGTGGGCCCTGTCCTATATACTGTAGGATGTTGAGCAGCCTCCCTGGCCTCCACCCACTGGATGCCAGCAGCACCCCCCTCCCTCCCCTCTCCACTCCCGACAACCCCAAATTACCAAATCTCCTTTGGGGGACAAATCACTCCCCTCCAAGGACCATTCCTTTAAATGGAGTATCTAGGAGTCCACAGTCTACTAAGGCCATCTGCCACAGCGTTTCATGTCTGTGTATCCTGGGAGTGGGAGGGGCATGTCTGGGAGAAACAGGAAGACAGTTCTGGGAGAAAACGAGGCTCCAGATGCAGCACTATGTGTCCTCTGTGTAACACCCTGGAGAACTCTGCTCCTGCTTGTCCCAGCAGCTGGGGATGAGATTGAGTGAAGGCTGCCAGAAGGCCTGGAAACTGGGTGTAGAGTTTCTTTCTTTTTTTTTTAAGCTATTATTTTTATTTATTTATTTGAGAGAGAGAGAGTGAGAGCCAGAGAGAGAGAGAGAGAGAGAGAGAGAGAGAGGAAGAGGGAGAAGCAGGCTCCCCAGTGAGTGCAGAGCCTGATGCAGGACTCGATCCCAGGACCCTAGGATCATAACCTGACCCGAAGGCAGACACTTAACCAATTGAGCTACCCAGGTGCCCTATAGAATTTCTTTAAATCTCTCAGGGGAATCTACAGAGGCCGTTACCTAAAGCACAAAGGGCCACAGAATAGTTCCAGATTGTGGTACCGGGGAAGCTCCAACGTCCTTCTTAGGGAGGAACAGGTGTGAATGATCCTGCCAGGTGTGGGAACCCATGGCTAATCTTCTGGGGGTTTCTGGATTTTCCCACCCCCTGCAACCTATCTGCTGCCCTGGTGCTGTCAAGAAGTTAGTTAGGAGCTAGTCCCTTGCGTGGGTCAAGTGGGTGGTACTAAAGCACCTGCAAACAGGTCTGATTCTTACCTGGGGGCTGCATAAAGGAAGGTCAATTTTGATTTGAAATGTTGGGATCCAGGAGTGAATGATCGAGAAGGAATTTTTGGCCAAAAAAAAAGAGGGGGTGGTATTATTAAAGCCTGGGGACAGGATCCCGTGGGCTGGAAGGGCTACGCTGGGGTTGTGAGGAGTGGCTGATTACAGACTCTCAGTTGGCAGGGGGTTAGGGAAAGCGTGGGCCTCTAGGGAATTTGGGAGCAGGTTTCCAGGACCTCGAGGCGCCAGCTGCCAGTAAGACAAGCTCACCTTCCACCGTCTAGTAGGACCTCACTCATGACACCCTCCGGATGTGTATCGGTGGCCACACGTTTGGGGGATGACTGCCAACACAGATCTTGGCGGTGAGGGGGCTCCTAGAGATAAAGGAAGTTTCCAAAGGGACTTTTACGGGATCCTGGAGGTCGGGCTCGTGTCAAGCTAAGGTTGCCCCTTGCCCTTAGCAAAGTACTTAACACTGAGGCAATTGAGTGCCAGGAGGAAGGTCACTCTGCCTGTCTCAAGTACTTGTCAATGGGCTGCAGGCTGTAAGGAGCTTTAATTGTTTTTCTGCATTTCTTTTGCTTCTGTTCTGCACATCAGGTTCCCAGGAGCATCGCCTAGTGGCGGCTCCTGGTGCCCCCACCCCCAGGGCCTCACCTACACTTTCCGCCTGATCTCACCTTCTTCGTCAGCTGTGCCCCACCATCGGGCCCTCCCTTTGGGGGGGGGACCCTCACTCCCGACAGAAATGAGAATGAGCAGGTGCAGGTGTCATGACTTGGGACTGCAGCGTCGTCTGAGCCCTGCACTCACCGTGCCTCTGGTTTCAGAGGAAGACGTACGTTTCCTGGCTTGTGCCAATCCGTCGTCGTGTTCTCTGGGTCCGGTCCCACGGCCTCACGGGCACCTTGCTCCCTCAGTTACGCACCTCTTCTCCTGTCAGTGCCTCTTTCTTCCCCTTCCCCATCAGCATCAGCCTTGCTCAGGCTCTCCGATCCCTACGGTCGGTTTGGTTGCGTATTCATCTCTCGCTCCTTACCGTTCTTTCTACTTGTCTTTTTGCTCCTACTCCTGTACAGAGTGGGCCACCTCAATTTCCTCGCCTTCCTTCTCGTCCCTCCTGCCACCACTTCTCTTCCAGCACATTCATTACAGTACAACTGTGACCCTGAGGCTCTCTGCTGACTGCTCCTCTCTGCTGCCTACTATTGTCTGGCCTCTGCAGTATTTGATACTATTGGCCATACCCCCCCTTTTTTTTTGCAATCATCACGTTCTCCTTCCCCAAACTGCAAAGTAATATGTGTTAGTGCACAGAACAAAACACAAGAAGAAAACCACAAATCTCGGAA